GGGACACGGATCAAGAGATGTTGGAAAGGTCGGGGTGAGGGATCGAGATAAGAGCCTATGGGAAATTCTTGTTTTTTATTTCGCTTTTTAATTATGTACTGTAATGTACAGGACAATGATTTAAAATCAGAATATCACTGCAGCAGGCAGGTCATCTCCAACATTCTACACATCATACATAGATACATTGTCATTATTATTTCAGATATAGTATTGTATCAATATCATCATAAATTGGGCTAGATAGGCCTATCTAACAATGAAGTACTGTATCACAATGAACAGACGGCACTCATGAGTAAAGTACAAGAGCTTGGCACAGGTCAAATATTTTTACACAAGGATATGGAGTACTTGAGTAAAGTGAACTAAGGCAGGCTAAATAGGCAAGTGCTACAGAAACTAGGTAAGCTAGAATTGGGTCCTCGTATGGGAATGTACTAATGTCTGCCTCAGTTCATGACGATGCCTGTTCTTTTGGAAAACTGTGGACTAGACAAAGCTCATGCCTCGACAACGTGAAATAGTAAGCAGATCAACGAGTTGACTATTTACGTTAACTAGCAATCCGGCGTAAGCATACCCATTATATAATGCTTACGCCGGCCCTGTGTATGCTCAGTAATAGATCGGCGTAAGCATAGCCTCGAAATAATGCTTACGCCACCCCTGCGCATGCTCAATAGATCGGCGTAAGCATAGCCTATGACTAATGCTTACGACTCGGCGTAAGCATAGACACTTCGTTTAAGAAAATTATGAGGCTAGGGACTAACCCCTAAAAATTACTTCATAGTACAGTATGTAATACTAGATAGAGATGCTTGTTGATACCGCCAGAATAGCTGGGCTTGGACTTGGTTGTGAAGCCTTTTCGAGGTAGGTGATGGTAGCGGTGGTCGTGTCCGCAAGGCTAACAACAGTCTTACAATACATAAATACAGGATTAGCTGGCCTAGAGTAGGGCCTAGCAGCTAATCACCCACCTAGGCCTAGCAAACAAATTGATTTGTAAAATATATAATTATTATATTTTATCCAAAACAAAGTAAGTGTAATCACCGATTTACCATACTTGGATATCAATTCATAATTACATAATAACACTAATATTACCTGGATAGAAAAGAATTTTTTAAAATGAAATGATGATAACCATCTCTGTCTTATGTTTGTTGTTTCACGTTTCGCTGCATCAATATCCAGAGCATGCAGGTCTAGGCAGTAGTGTTTTGCTGCAGTGACATCTCGGTGCTGGCGACTCGCTGCTGGCGATGACTCGCTGCTGGCGAATCGATCTGCGCATGTGTTTAAAATGGTATTTACTTCCGAAAACATGCCTGCTGCACGCGGTAGGTTTGTATTTTGTTTTTCAATGAATGAAATTCAACTTTTAAGATGTGTTTCTAGACCTAGTTATATTATCATTATAGAATATTGTATATTAACTCTAAAATATAACACAAAGTCAATTTTATATAGGTCTAACGTATGTAGGGCTACGGAACGATGTAGTGTACACTGTAGGCCGTATAGCCTAGTGCTAGGGCCTAGCCTAAGCTGGCTCGGGCTAGCAAAGGCCCTAACTCTACTATTATTCGGCTGGCATTGGCCTAGGCCTACTACTAGCCAACTAATGGGACAGTCCCACACACTTTTCTAATGCCAATGGGTCGACAAAAAATGGGTCCACATTTTTTTAAATGGGTCCAAATTTAATGCAGTTTCATGCATAAATGAGTCCTCATTTTGAAAAATGGGTCAAAATTTCTTATATTTAGCCTAAAATGGGTAAAATTTTATGAAAATGGGTCCAGATTTTTCATATTTTTCCGTAAAATGGTTTACTTTTAATAAAAGGGGTCTACATTATTTGAATTTACGCGAACAGTGGGTCCACCCTGATATTGTACCTGTTAA